AGACAAAGAAATCACCAGTCCTGGATCCAGCGTCGGACCTGCCAACGGGGGGGGGGTCAGTGCAGAGAGAGAGTGCCCCCGGGGGCTCACGTGCACCCCTGTTTATTGGCTCCAGCCCAAGGTTTCTAGAGTCTTCTCTCACCCCAGCTCCAGGAGTGGTTGAGACATTAGTCAGTCAAGGAGAGTGACACCGGGCCCCTCCCCGTGGCTGGCTTCTGGAGCTTTCCCTGGGGCATTGTCTGTGCTTACAGCACAGACACGTGGGCCTCGTCCCTTACAAGCCCTAACCCTGATAATTAGCTTCCTTGTTAGCACCAATAAATGCGAAAAGGAAAAAGGACTATGAAGTAAAGTCATCCTTAAACAAGGTATTGCTTATGACTCTCTTCAGATTCTTGTTTTTAGGTTTTCTGCCCTTTTCGGTCACGTCTGCATACTGTACAGTTATTTATACCATTTGCCAGCAAATCCAGATGGTTCTATCCTGTATACACTTTGTAATGGTATGGGTAAACAGGTGAAATGAAATGGATACCTTCAATACCAAGTTTGAAGAGTGTGAATTCAAGCAAATGTCAATGATGAGCAATTTTTGTTAATATAATGTAGCTTTGTCAATGTGGGGAGGAAAGTGAGGTTGCTGTGGAAGTCATTAGTTACTTGATGTACCTATACAAGGGACTTTCAAAAGAAACTGTATGTTTGGACAAACCGTGCATTTGCATCAAACCCCTGTCTCAGGGTTTCTGCTAGCCTCCTTGCCAGGCTGTTTTCCATCCTTGCGCTGTGATCCAGCTTGGAGATTTGTTTTGCTTTTCAGTTTCCTCTAGGGCATTGGATTTGGTCCTTGTTAGAAAAAGACAGAGATCAATGTGGGGATCGATGCACTTTCTAGCATTTGACCTGCTCTTTACCTCCCACTGACGTCCTCAGCACAGTGCTGATTGCCCCAGTTAGGCTGGCAGGGGAACTGGGACAGGGGTTCAAAGGTTCTTGAATTGGATGATTATTGGACTTTCTGGTATGTTTTTGTGTTGTATTGTGCATAGTGCAGCTTGTAAGATCGTACAGGTGAGGAATTTGGCAAATACTCATGCAGGAACTAAGCACGTGCTTTATGGCTTCTGCTTCTTTCTCTGGCACATTTAGATTACATCTTTAGGTCTTCACTGTATTTCTTTGGTTAGTAGAAGAGATGGGGAAGTGCCTTCTGGCATACTGGAAGAGTTGTGAAGCATCTGCAGACCTTTCTGGACAGTTCTACAGTTAGCACACTTTTCCCCACGGCCACAGAAAATTGATGCCATATCCGAGGCACCTCCTTCCAGTCCTCTGTTCCAAGGCCAGCTTGCAGCAGTATCTTAGTTTTAGAGGAATTTGCTGTGTAACTCTCCCTTGGAAAGTCTAATTTCTGTTAAGAATTTTATCAAGGCTTCAGGAAGGCAGAACTTCCCACAAACCAGAAATTCAAGGTTTTGATCTGACAAGCTGTATTGAGACAGCTGAGATGCCAGATCAGATTACATAAAGCAGTATTTTACAGAAGACCATGTCAGAACAGAAGCTGAGCACATTTCAACTTTGCATCTTCTAGGTGTTTACACATAAGACTGAGCAGATCTGAACGATTCAGGGATCCAGCTTCTGAGGGAAGTAACAAGAAGTCTTTAAAGAAAGATGACATCTACTTTGCAGATTTGAAATTTACTTTACAGATGAAATCTGTAAAAGTCCTGTTCTTGACTTGAGCAAAGGTTCTCCTCCACAACACCGTAGTTCTTTTTGCCTGGAGTGATGGTTATTATTTTAGTTCAGGCCACCCACCCTCATCACAAGACCTAAGGATTTATAAATTTAGAAGAGCAATCACATAGGAAGGATAATACAGACCAAGAACTCCTGCAATAGTGAGACATTTTTCAGCAGACTAAGCCAGGAGGAAATAAAAGTATAAAACACGACAAAGCAAAAATAACACGATTGCAATAGCTGCTGTAAGAATCTGTTTGTGCTTTCTAGAGAATACTTACTTGAGAAGTCCTGCAAGATAAAGACTTTTCATTCAGCAAATACCATGACTAGAACATTAAAAGTATTTGAAGCTGGTCTAGACAGAAAATGTCTAATTCCCTGTTTCACCCAAACTTCCCCTAGGCTAATGACTGATGGATTTTTCCAATGAAAGTTTTGGCCTAAATTCTCATTAGGTTCTAAATCCCCAGGTCCCGTAAGAAACATGGCCGAGCAAAGCCTTGAACCTGCTTCCTAAAATACAAAAAGCACTATAGTCACAGAACCACCATTCTTCTTGGATCATGAATGCACTGGAAATTTGATCCAGGCTTATACACACAGAATATGAAGTTGAAGGCAATTAAGCATTATATTAAGAATAAACACAGTTCTTGGCCATTCTACATCTTAGTTCCTCATTTACAGGAATAATATGGGAGACTGTAGCATGTCTCATTAATGCACAGTAATATAAGTGCTTAACTGGAAACAGGGGTAATGACTGTGTTCATAAAACACACTGAAGGAATAGAATTAGTTGGCACTGACTCTCTAGAAATTTTAAGGATAAATATATATTAAATTATCCATGACTTACATGTTCTGATAGGAAGATACGGATAAATGTGGTTATCTAATGAAGAACAGTCTACAAACTGTGTCAGGATTTTACCTAAAGACTTCAGTGAAAGCTGCTGGAACTTTGCCATTAACTTCACTAGGACCAAAGTATCACTTTCTTGTCTCCAATTACTTAAAATCAGCGTATATCCCAGAGGGTCCTACCTGCTTAGAGTTTGCCCTTAAAACCTCAGGAAGTAAACCAAATTGAAGAAGTCAACTGAATTAAGATAGTAGAATTGATCTGCCCCTTGATCCCATATTTCTGCAACTCTACTGCAGTCTGTTTCATTACAGCAGAAAACGAAACTTCGTATTTTGGTGAGGCTATATACTAAATCACAAAGACATAGCAATTTAAAGTTTTGTTTATTATATTGCACAAGATATCTATGCAATCCATGTAGGTACTGTATTAAAGGATCCACATTTCCCAAAACATTGGCTGTTGCAGCACACATCACAAGCATTGTGAATAACCAGTGCCTTCTTCAAAAATTAAAATACTCGGTTGCAAGTTTAAGCATGTGTGGCAATAAATGAAGAAAAAAAGCGAGGAGTATCAATACATACTTCTTTTCAAACACACAAATATACAATTTTCAGAAGACCACCAATAATGCCAAGCAACTATTTTGATGAGATGCTGTATGTGTAGGCTCTGCAGTAAAAAACCAATATGCACACAAAAAATATATTTCAACTTTTAAAATAATTTAACCATAATATCTTGCATGTGTCACCTGTTTACAACATATCATTTCATATACAATGTCAGGCCCAAGCCTCAACTTGTGTAAATTTGTGCATACTCATTTAAAGCAGCTGAGACTCTGGACCAGGTGTTCAAACTGAAAAAGCCTTCAAATTGTTCACATCTGAATACAGAATGGTAGTATAAGACCGAGAAAGTAGTTACAGTGAAGGTATAACAGAAATGGTACTATGGAAAAAATGAAGAAAAACACTATCAAACCCTCAAACACAAGGTTCTAGAAAGAGGTCTACATGTAAAGTGATGTCGTAATAATTTATAAAAGTGAGTAATTAATATCAGTCTCCTTTCTGACCCTTAGAGATTCTCATATATTCAGAAGCCCATAGAAGTGAACTAACCAAATGTCACAATCAGTATCATCCTCAAACTGTTTCTTAAGTTTCTGATCATTAATACTGGTACTTAAAAACGTTTCATATTTGTTGAAAACTGTTATTAAAATTTACCTTCCTGCTATGAGAATTTAGTGTAATAAAAATAATGAAAAACAATAGGTAAAAAAATAGTATTTTAAGAATATTTTTAGAAAACCCGTCAAACAACTGCAAATACAGCTGATTTTTAAGTGTCTCTACTTTTGAACTATGTTTTTTTGTTTGTTTTTGTTTAAGTGAATCACTTATAAAGAAGCAAGGGAGTACCAGTTCTAAGATTTATTCTTGTCCATTACATTGAGGACCTCATCCAAAAGTGAAGGTCCCAAGTCAAGTTGTAATGAGAGAAGAGAGCCTGCAAGATCTGAAAGGGATTCTTCTGACTTAGTCTTTGCCTTGGTTAGTTCACATGAAAGTTGACCGTCATCAAATAAATCAACTGTTTGCCAATCCGTGCATCGTTCAGAAAAGCTGGATGAGTGACTATCTCTACCATTAGTAAAATGCGAAGAACCACCATTTTGCTCCCATATGTCATCTTTGTATGTTTCTCCATCCTCCATCTGTTTACTTTTCTCCTGCAATTTTTCTTCTATTACGGGCTCACAGCTAAGCCTAGGATTTCTTGATGATCTGATGGATTCTTGCTTTGAATTAAATGTCACTGGTGACAATAAGGGCAACGTAAGGGCTTGAGAACCCCCAATGGCAGGAAGGGAAATAGCATTTTTGAGCACTGGTGATGGAGTTTCTGTAAACATGGATTCAGAAGTGCTGTTTGCCCTTAAGAATTCATTGTGGCCACCAGACTGGCTAACTCTGGTTTCTCCTTCATTTCCAGGCAATAGCTCGTAGTTGCCCTGCAAAAAGGAGATGTCTCCAAAAACATCATGTTGTCCCTCTTTTCCAATGTGTATGGTGTGACGAAAATCTCCAAGTGGTGGACTGATCATATCAGGAGACAAGATATCCCTTAGTTTGAATTTCTTCCCTTTCTTATTGTTAGCAGCTTTCAAGTAGATGGGTGTCTTGGCTGGCATCTTGCCTGCAGTTTCTGAGAGGAAGTTATTTAAAAAAAAAAAAAAAAAAAAGGAAGAGGAGGGGAGGGAGAAGCCTTTTACAAAGTCAGTTATTCTCAGGAGACCTTCAGCGTTATCAAGGTTACATCATCATCTTGAACCACTCTTGCACATGAAGTCCCTTTCTTCTGATGCAGAGAACTGTGGGGTATGTGAAGGTGAATGTCTCTCACTGCAGATCTTTCCAAGGTGGAGCACAAGTTTCAGTTCAGTTAGCAAGCAAATGCCCTGCTACCTCCAGAACTTGAAAAAAAACCTGCATGGGATACAAAATCAGGTTATCATTAATTTATTTTTCATGGTTCATTCAGTCTTGTTTTTACAAAAAAAAAAAAAATTAGTAATGGTACTGACAGTTCCAGCCTGCAGATTAGCTTTATGGTGTTGCTTCCCTTCATTAGGCAAGATAAAAGAGTTTAGATTAACAAGGGCTAGCTAACCTTTCTCTGACTTCATAGCTTTTTTTGAAGTCAGAGTTTCTTAGACACGGTTGCTGAGCACAATTCATTTGATAAATATCATTATCTCAATCTTTCTTCTCCTTATTCTGGCATTCAAAATGCTGGCCTTTGAGAGCGCACGCAGAAACAAATTTATAATATTCAACAACATTAAGCTTTTGGTAGACCCAGGAAGATTGACAGAGTCATTCAGGAAACCTTTTTGGAAATGGAGTAGACAGACCACCTTGGATTAGAGAACTTCAGATACCCCCATTTAGTGCTGGAACTCTCACAAACTGTCACCACTAACATATCTGATAAATGTGCCCATTTAAAAGGATAGTTTTAGGTACTTGAAAAAAGTGCTAGTCCAGGTCTTTACAATTAGTTAGAAACATCCAAATGCAGGTGTTTTAGAAGAGACTGATTCTTGTGACTACAGTCTTTAGACTACCGGAATTCTTAATAGCAATTAGTTATAGACTGTAGCTCACGAATTATGTAGGCCATGAGGCCATGGTGACTCAGAGTTGCTCTGTGCAACCAAATGAAACAGTGTTTACAAACCAAGTCTTCCTATTAGAATGTCATCTCTGAAAAGCCTGATAAAGCAGTCCACAAGGGATAACAGGCTACTGGGTCAACAAGTTATGGAAAAACACTCTTCATTAATACTTTAATGGTGTATGTCTTCCTTACAGTACCAGTTCCTGACTCTTGAGCAATCTCAGAATAAGAATGCATTTTTCTCCTGGACATCTTTGTACTTTCCCCTATTCAGTCCATGGACCACCAGAGCATCACAGGTCACTCCTCCTCAGCAGAATACTCAGCCCCAAATCCCTCACACTCTGTCCATCACCATCTCGCTCCATAAAGGAACTTACAGTTTTTGCACAGAAAGAGTATTCTATGCAATAAGTGAAGGGAAGCTGTCTGTAACAAGGGCTACTTTTGCTGCCTTTTATCCATGCCCCAGCAGATATTTTCCTTCATCAAATTAAGCCCAGTAAGAATCACCAGTTTTGAAACTTTGTACTGTATGGCTATATAGCCAGATTGTCAAGAAGTATTTAAGCATTTTCACAAATCCTTTAACCTGAGTAATTAGCTCCTACAGTGTGGTACTTAACTGTGCATCACAAGGGGAGCTGGGAATCTAGCCAGGTTAGTATTTGGGTTTTTTGATTCCCACCAGATATCTACTGCACTTCAGATATCGTTGAAAAGCCCTCCCCCAAAAAGTACAACAGATATAAACAGATGAAAGCTGTCATACAAAATAAGCTCAGTGTTCTATAAGTTTTTACATGTTTTTATATTTTATACTTTTAAGCTCAATTTGAAAATATATTTGATTGCATCAATCAGTTAAAAGCACTTCAAAGCTTCCTTCTACTCAACAAAATGGTAATTCATTAGGATCTACAGAATACTAGGAGATTCACATTACATACCAAAACTCCACTAACTTAACTCCATGTCAGTACTGCAAGATACAAAAGTAAATCCTAAATAAGATATCTATTCATGCCACACCCCATGGCAACAGAACTGATTAGTCAACTCAGCTACCTGTCAGTTTTAAACTGAAAAATTCAACTGCATTGTTCGCCCCTCCCCCCCCCCCGATTATCATTCTACCCAAGCAACCCATTTAGCTGAACAAAGTGTCCTCAACTCTAAAGAGAAGACTATTCTTAGCAAACAAAGCCGAATGGTGAAGTTCGTTTATGTTTATCTAGTGAACCCAGCTATATCTCACTTCTCAGGAACAGCAGGCAGAATTCCCCCTGATTTGAATTCCTCATTCTTTCAGATCTTTTAATCTGGAATGAATGGTAATGTAGTGTCAATGTGGTCCAAAGTCATGCCTGTTGGTCACTAGTTCAAAAATGAAAGACAATTCCTAGTTCATTCAAAGCGTTCATGGCTTCCACCAGTTTGGATGTGTATCAAAGACCTTTATCACCAAACCTCACAAGAAGATTTCAAAGAAACCTGAAGGACACAATGAAACATCTGAACATCAAGAAATACTAAATTCAAGTGTAAAATAACTTTTAATATAAATAATACATTTTGATGCTCGAGAAGAGCACTGTATTTTATTTAGCTCATAGCTAAGGGAAAACAAACAAACAAAAAAACCACAAAAACCCCAGACAGAGCAAACTTTTGGGCATCCAGATCTCCTTTAGTTCTTGCACTATGAGAGAGCCCCAGTAAGGGGCAGTGTAAAACCACACTACCTCAGAGGATGCTGCAAGAGACTGGTGCCAGGAATTTTAATCCCTCTCTATACAGCAGTCCCTGTATTTATGAAGGCCTTGCCTTCCATTTGGCCAGTGCAAGAGGCTTTACATTTGAAGAGAAGAACTTTCACAATTATGTGCTTACTGCGAGCATCGTTTGCTCTGCTGATAACAAAGGCTACCATTGCTGCAGATTTCACTAGCCACTCTTGAAAAATCTGCAAATTACACCTTGTAAATAAAAAAATAAGGGTTCCCTCCTCAATGGACAGGCTTTCCTTGTACAGCATAAAACAGGCTTCAGAGCAACTGTACTTTGTTTCTGCATACCTATCCTCTTTGTCAACCACTGCCCAAAGGAGTACAGATTTTAAGCTACTTTGAACAGCTGAAATAGATCATAAATCTGGAAATATTCACTTAGCCTAAAATACTGTTGTTACTCATATTTCATTTACAATTAAATAAGGAAGAACCTATATCAATATATAACATGTGGTTTAAAAAAAAGTAGTTCTTTTAATAAGAAAAACAATAATAATCCAACTTTGGCAAGTGAAGAAAGGCTTAACGAGACTAAGCCTCCAGCTCAACTCCTACAAAACTAAAAAGTTAGTCCACAACATTTTCACAAGAACCTCACACATTCCCTGCATTCAGCAAGATTTAATGAAATCACCGGTACACACAGGCTAAGAGAATGGACAGAACACACCTCAATCTCGATACCAGGCCACACAGTAAAGTTCACCTTGTCTTAAAATGAGACCTTTTTCTGATCTTGCTGCTAAAAGAGTCTCTGTTTTGACTCATTTCAACTCGGTAACTAAATGAATGTATAGCCAAACTGGAAAACTGAATGAGAAATTATCAGAAAGCCAAATGCATAACCAAAAGTCCACAGTCCGAGACTGCCAGCCTACTGTGGAAGACCTTAATTTAAAAGAAAAACAACATGAAAGGATTTTTCTTCCAATTGAAGCGATATCCCTCTCCTAACAAGATCCAAGCATGAGCCAAGCCAGAGAAACTTCAGCCCAGTGAAAATTAAAGTTTGAGTTTGGCTGTAACACTTGCTCATTTTCATTTCTATCACTTCACACTCTCATATAAGTGTTTTGCTTGGTAACAAAGACTAATATTTTCAGAGGTACTTCTCAATCTGCCTTGCGAACCTTCTGTCCTCTCAGCAATCATCACCTTCCACACGGCTCAGTCTTCCATGGATGCCTCACTTTATTCCACAGTCCGTTTTAAAAGGATAGACTATCAGCAAATATCTCAACAGCTAAGCTTACAAAGCCAGAGACAAATAAGGATCAAGGTGCAAAATTTTATTTGTGCACAAATCCCAAGAGACCTAGATCCTTAAGCAGTGTCCTAGGCAAAGAAATGACAGAAAGAAAATCCTATTTCCACAGAGCAGAACCAGAAGCAAGCATGCGCTCTGGGAAGCCTATGGGCTTTCTACAGGACAATCTCTTGCAAGGGCTCTGCCTTACACGTCATTGGCTAGAAGCACATGATCTTTAGAGAAATCCATTTCCAAAGCATCGTTTAAAACAACACTGAATTATCTTGTGGAGCAAGTCACTAGGAGAAAACAGAGCCTGTACATTATTTCCATATCCAAATGAGAATACAGTAAACACAGCAAAAGACAGATACAAACTGTACAACAAGCTGCTTCAACTTTTCTACACAAGGAAGTATCTGCAAGCATAGAAGAATTAGGCTTTAGGGGTTTATTTTAGGTTTTAGCTACCAGTAGCTTTCGGCAGCACAAACAAACTGTTGACAACGTCCTTGTCAATGCTGATACTTTCACTATGTCTGAAACAACATCAGTGCAAACCACGTTTTTATTGTTTTTGTAACAGGGGCTTGAACTCGTGTAGTTACAATTCCTGAATGCGGGTAGAAAAACCTCCCAGTACAACCAAGCCTTCAGGTACAAGAAAAGCGGCAGACGATGCACCATAGAGCTTACCTCTCATGTTCCTGTGGACTTAGGTGTCCGTATCAACTGGCAGCCTCTGAAGATGAGAGGCTACAAGTCTGTCTGTCCACTGCTAGACCAGGCCACCAGTGAGCCTCTGCTTACAGAGCCACCACCTTCTGAGTAGCTTTAACCAAGTCAGGCGGTAACACTTCTCTCTCCAGATTGTTCATCTAAATTTACCTTGTTTGTAAGAGGCCCAGCCTTTGAATTCATCTGTATTAAAGCCAACTTCCCTGATCAGATTAGAAGTCCTCACCCCTTTGTTTCTCCCTCCATCAAAGAATTTGCACCCTTCTGATTAAAGCTACAGATTTAATTACTTTATAAAAACAATCAGGCTAATCACATTTCATTTCAACTAATTTTCTCAAATTGCACTCAGCCTACTTTCCTAGATCAAATCTAACCTATTTTATTCCATTGTCACATATGCTTTTTAGAAAACGAAGGAAAAGAAATCCCCAATCCTTCCCACAGCTAAAGAAACACAGGTCAAGAGGGGACCCTATGATACAGTTCATTCATTTCTCCATCCTCCTGCAAAGATCCAGACGCC